GGAATAAATACATGCTTTTTGCACTGTGTGCACTGAAGGATCAATTTTTCTTTCCATCTAATTAAAAAGTTGGAAGCATCAAAAGATATGGAAATAACATACAAACTCACTGTGTCAAAAAGGATCGGTTGGCATTCAACCATTTTAAGAGGTAACATATGACTAAGAACTGGAGGTTTTGAAACAAGAAGTCCAAGCAGCATTAGCAAAAACTAAAACAAAACAGAGACGTATAGGAACACTGATTGAAATGTTTCAACAAACTGATTTAGTCCTGGAAGCACCCACTGTTGTTGTTAAGTGCCATCGAGTCGATTCGGACTCATATCTACCCTGTTTTTAACAGAATGAAATATCACCTGGACCTGTGCCGTCCTCACAGTTGTTCTCATGTTTGAGTCCATGGCTGCAGCTACTATGTCAATTTACCATGTTAAGTGTCTTCTTCTTTTTCACTGCCCCTCTGCTTTACTAAGCATGATATCCTTCTCCAGTGATTGGTCTCTCCTGGTAACATGTCCAAAGTACATGAGATGAAGTCTTACCATCCTTGCCTCTAAGAAGCACTCTGGCTCTACTTCTTTGAAGGCAGATTTGTTTGTTCTTTTGTCTGTCTTCACCAGTATCATAATTAAAATACATGAATCTGTCAGTCCTTATTCGAGGTCTAATTTTCACATATATTTGAGGTTTTTGAATTTACCATGACTTGGGTCAGGCCCTCCGTAGTCCTCGAAGAAAACTGCTTTTCAACACTAAAGAAGCCTTGGGCTGCAGATTTACCCAATGCAATGCATCTTTTGTTTTCTTGACTGCTGCTTCTCAGATGATTTGCTCAGCATACAGATTGAATAAGTATGGTAAAAAGATACAACCCTGACACACACCTTTTCTGATTTTAAACCATGCAGTATTCCCTTGTTCTTTTTGCACAACTGCCTCTTGATCCATGTTCAAGTTCCACATGAGCACAATGAAATGTTTTGGAATTCCTATTCTTCTTAAGGCTAACCGTATTAGTTTGTCATGATCCACACATTTGAATGCCTTCCCCTAGTCAATGAAACACAAGTATACATCTTTCTGGTATTCTGTTTTCAGCCAAGATCCACTTGTCTATCGGTTTGTCATATTGTGGTAGCTTAAGTGTTGCTGTGATGCTGAAAGCTATGTGACTGGTAATTCAAATGCCAGCAGGATCTCCCAAAAAGAACACATTTCAGCAGAGCTTTCAGACTAAGAACAGACTAAGAGGAAGGAATAGGAGGTCACTTTTGAGGAATTAACCACTGGAAACCTTATAGACAGAAGAAAACATCCTTGGATACTTAACATCTCATGAAAAGAACTTTGAAAGAAAAAAGGAAAGAAGAACTTTGTCACAGTTGGTGCTAGAAGATGAGCCCCTTAGGTCAGAAGGCACTCAAGTATTCTCAAAGTAGAGTTGACCATAATGACAAGGATGGATTAAAGCCTGTTGGAGTCAAGCCTGGACCTTCATTTGTTGATGGAGCACAACTCAAAATGAGCGGAAATGGCTGTAAACATCAATTAGTAATTGGAAGTTGGAGTGTATGAAGTATGAATCTAGGAAAATTGGAAGTTGTCAAATATGAAATAGAAGACATAAAAATCTATTTCTAGGTATTGTAAACTGAAATGAACTGGTATTGCTATTTTGAATCAGAATCACCATTTCTACCGAAATTATTCAGTTACATTTTCATAATGTCATCATTCTCATTCAATCTATTCTGGTTATACTATTTCCAGTAATCTATGTTTTTTGCCCTCTTCTCACCTTTGCTTAAAGTGATTATTGACCATTATATATGGAGAGCATAGGTTCCAAAATTTATTTATCCTACTGCCCCCTTTTCAGAAAAAGAGTAATTTTTTTTCAGTGCCCTTTTGGCAATTAAAACCTTTGTGCTATAGCCCATAATCCAAGATAAAATATAGCTGTCTGTTCTTGCAGAACCCCTAGATTGTTGCAACACTTCCCAGGGATGGTATTGCCCACAAATGATTAGATGAGCATTTAAAGGAGCTCATTACTCACTAGTGATATTCTGTATTTTCTGAGCCATCTGTTCTTTAGCTAAAAGATAACCTCATGAGGTGATTTCGCTGTAAGGTTCAAAAAGTATCTCAGGATAACAGTCTCAGAGAGTCATTTAGTCTCAATTGATTCAGTCCGAACGTATTAAGAATTTTCTTTCCCATTCCCTTTCTATGGCCCCAAGGCTTCCCTGGGCCACATGGGTCTCATCTCTGGAAGGCTGGACATGCCTCTGGCACTTTCTGGGTTTTCCAGGTCCTAATACTTGATATTTTGTCTGAAACTGGCTTTTCTTTGCATTATTGGTCAAAGATGCCCAATATGTCTCTGCATATCTGGGTCTGAATTGCCCCTTTGTACTTTCACTTGTGATCATCTGTGTTCCAGTTATTCTTTGGGGGGGTAGGAGATCTTGCTTGTCCTATTTCTTGCTATTTCATTTGACATGGATTTTTTCTTCAATTTCTCTGAGCTCAGGTCAGCTCATACCACAGAAATCAGTGTGAGGGATAGGGGTGGTATCTCATTGATGTATTAAAACCCTGATGGCAAAATCTGCTTTAAAGTAAGAAGAGAGTTCTAAAGCTGTATCTCTAACATCAAAAGTAGAAGCTACCGAGTAATAATTACCGGATCTATTGCTATCTAGAAAAGGATTCCACCCAGCAGAATTTTTCTTTCTTTCTTCTTAATCATTATATTGGAGGGTCATACAACTCTCATCACAATCCATATATACATCCATGTGTCAAGCACATTTGTACATTTGTTGCCATCTTCATTCTCAAAACATTTTCTTTCTTCTTGAACCCTTGGTTTCAGATCCTTATTTTTCCCCTCCCTGCCCACCCTCACGAACCCTTGATAATTTATAAATTATTATTATTATTTTGTGATGTCTTAACACTGTCCAATGTCTCCCTTCACCCACTTTTCTGTTGTCCATCCCCTAGGGAGGGGGTTATATGTAGATCTTTGTGATTAGTTCCCCCTTTCTATTCAACTTTCCCCTTCCCCGCCAGGTATCATTACTCTCATTATTGGTCCGGAGGGATTTATCTGTCCTGGATTCCCTGTGTTTCCAGCTCTGATCTGTACTAGTGTACATGCTCTGGTCTAGCCGGATTTGTAAGGTAGAATTGGGATCATGATAGTGGAGGGGAGGAAGCATTAAAGAACTAGAGGAAAGTCGTATGTTTTATCGTTGCTACACTGCACCCTGACTGGCTCTTCTCCCCGCAACCCTTCTGTAAGGGGTTGTCCAGTTGCCTACAGATGGGCTTTGGGGCTCTACTCCACACACACCCTCATTCACAATGATACGGTTTTTTCTTCTTTGATGCTTGATACCTGTTCCCTTCGACATCTCGTGATCACACAGGCTGATGTGCTTCTTCCATGTGGGCTTTGTTATTTCTGAGCCAGATGGCTGCTTGTTTACCTTCAAGCCTTTAAGACCCCAGATGCTAAATCTTTTGAAAGCCAGGCACCATCACCTTTCTTCATCACATTTGCTTATTGTGTTGGGAAGGTGAGCATCATGAAATGCCAGTTTAATAGAATAAAGTGTTCTTGCATTGAGGGAGTACTTGAGTAGAGGCCCAATGTCCATCTGCTACCTTAATACTAAACCTGTAAATATATGCACATACCATAAATCTATTTTCCCATCCTTACATATAAATATATTTGCATATGTACATGCCTTTGTTTAGACCTCTATAAATGCCCTTTGTCTCCTAGTTCTTTCTTCTATTTCCTTTTACTTTCCTCTTGTCCCACTATCATGTTCAGTCATCATTTGGGTTTCAGTAATTCCTCTCAGTTATATTGCCCCTAATCAAGCCCTGCCAGGCCTCTTACACCCTCCTCACCATCAATTGTGGATCACTTGTCCCTTGACCCTGGGTTTGTTAACACCTACTTCCTTTCCCCGACCTCCCCCTCTCCCATGTCCCCCCAGAACCATTGGTCCCATTGTTTTCTCCTCCAGATTGTTTATACCTCATATCTTATCTAGATAGACCTGCAGAGATAATAGTCCATAAATTCTTTAGACTCACACAGCATATGCAATGATGCCAAATGCAGGAAGATCACAGGCTAGTGGGTGGAGAGTCTTGTAGAACCAGTGGCGGTGGAAGCACCTCAGCGCTGGCAGGGGTCTCCACGGTAGCTCCTTCAGCTCCAGGGCTCTAGTGTAGCTCCATGTGTCTTGTCTGTAGGAGTGGCTCAGAGAGAGTGAGCATTGTCAGTAGAGAGTCTCCAAGGGAGTGAGCAAGTGTCCCATCTCCAGTGAGCTATTTATCTCTCTAGTACCTCCAAATAAGGTCATCAAGCTGAGACCTGATTGACAGGCTTAACTCCACCCCTTCACTCTTTAAGTCTCAAATTGACAATAGATTATGTAACTTCCACAAAGGGCAACCATTTGTACTGGCTCCCATACCACACTTTAAAATGAGCCTTGTCCACATTGAGTTGGACCTAATGACTTTTTGACCTAAAATTGAAGAGCCGTAGCATACATATTTTATTTTATTTTCATAGCATCTTTTAAATTAAACTCATTTTGGTTTATTTTTAGTATGTGATTCATTAAAAGAGAAAAAAAAAAAAACTTTCAGTCTCTAAGTCAAACAGTGGAGAACTTTGAATCATCACTAAGCATTTCTAAATCTAAAAAAAAAAAAAAATTGGGAAATAGAATGCCTTCTTTACCTTTCTTGATTCACCTATGTGTTTTGGATAAATAATAATTTTTAGTTATTTAATAACTATTAAATATTTAATAATTTTGTGGTATTTAATTTTTTTAATTCTCATAGAATATAAATAAAGGGGGAAAAGAGAGTGTGTAAGTAAAGGTAGCTCTGAGTTGTTCAGTATGTTAATTTTGTGGTAAGTCTAATATCATAAATTCCTTTTCTTTCCCCAGCTCTGGTTTCTCTGGATTCAGCATATCTTCAGAAGAGGAAACTGTAAAATTGATCGGTTCTGACTCTTAAAAACCATGCCCTTTGTGAGTTGCTGTTTCTTTTCTCCTTTCTTAAGTACATTTTATTTAAATGAACACCAGATTTATTTATTTTCACAATTCAATAGTTCAAACACATCAAGAAGAGTTGTACAGTCATTACCACAATCAACATTTAGAACATTTTCTCTCCCTGGCCCATTGTTAAATCACTGTTAAGATTAGTTGTGTAATTGCCATCAGTTCTAGAGCATGCTTCCTCCGTCCTCCCACATACATTGTTTGCTCCCCCAACCCCCTCACCTTCCCTATTTCCCAGGCCCCCACCCTACTTCCCCTATAAATCTTTGCATCAGTTCTCATCTCTATGCCTCTACTCCTTCTGTGCTTCGCCAGCTGGAAACCCCAACAGAAAGAGTGAAAAACAGAAAAAAATAAAGTGGTAGGATAAAATAAATACAGAGATAAAAATACGTATAATGGGTAAGAACGAATAGACCACCTTGAATATTTGAAAGGCCAGGGAAGAAATGTTTGTCATGGAACAAGCAAGAAAAATATTTGCACATAGAATAATTTCATGGGGATCTGCCAGTGGCTTATCAGGGTAGATACGCTACAGATGGGTTTTGGTCTCCCACTCTCCTCCATAGCCTTCTAAAAATTGAGTGTTCACAATTTAGGCTCTGGTACTTTTGCAGATTTATTGATTATAGGATTTCTGGCTTACTTAACCCCATAACAAAACTGCTTCCAAATGTATCCTATTCCAGTGAATGATAGTATCAAAGCGCTCCATTCACGTCTAAATGCCTTTTTTGTCTTTTTTATCATTTTACTGGGGGCTCGTACAACTCATCACAATCCATACATACATCCACTCTTTCAAGCACATTTGTTCATTTGTTGCCATCATCATCAAAACATTTGCTTTCTACTTGAGCCCTTTGTAATCAGTTCCTCGTTTTTCCCTCCCTCCCTCTTGAATCCTTAATAATTTATAATTTTTTTTTTCATATCATGCACCGATTGCTGTCTCACTTCACCTACTTTTCTGTTGTTCTTCCCCCTGGGTGGGGGGCAGTTATATGTCAATTATTGTGACTTCTCCCCACCTTGCCCTTACCCTCCTGGTATTGTTACTCATTATTGGTCTAAATGTCTTTTTAAACTCCTCTATATGTCAGACTTGATGATTCTGAGTGTTAAAAATAACAGCAACACTATTCTGTTTTGTAGTTCAGAGGTTTAATAATTATGTGTCTTCATTAGAGGAAGAAGAGAAAGGAAGAACTCATACTTGAGAATTTATTTCTTTGATATTTTAATGTGCTGTGTGATTTAAGCAACACATATTTAAATGGGAAACTACTCATAGGACAAGTTCTTTTTATTATTACTTAAGCCACTTTAAATATGGAATTGTGTCACTTTGTTCAGTAACCTCCTTCGCCCTTTTTCCTTTTTTTATTCATCTTTTTTCTTTTTACCTCAAAATCATGACCATATTTTCACAATAATGAATGGATTATTTGTTTCAGTGTTTGATGACTTTCAGGGATGTGGCCATAGACTTTTCTCCGGAGGAATGGGAATACCTTGACCCTGCTCAGAGGGAATTATACAGAGATGTGATGTCGGAGAACTATAACAACTTACTTTCACTGGGTAAGGACGCTACACAATGTTCAGAATTTGTCCCCCATTATCTCTGTCTCCTTCATTGCAAATTTCTGATCTATGTTCCATAAAGAAAGGGTTATGTTTTGTGTAGATAGAAATGAACAACTCCTCCGTGTAGGCTACTATTTCTCTTCAGAGAGGACTACTTTCCTCTGTCCTATTTATCAAGGCCTCTCTTCTCTGATGTATTGGATATAAGTATGTACCGATATACTGGATATGAATATGGTGTTTTCACAGCTTGACTATGTTCCATCTCTCTTCTTTTAAGCTGCATGTTCAATCCCTACATCAGATATGTGTTTGTTATTGAAGCAAGGCAAGGATCCCAAGACGGTGGTGATAGCCTTGACCAGAAGAGAAACTTCAGGTGAATAAGGGCTGGCCACTCAGGGGCAGAAGCTGCTACTGGTAATAACACAAGTGATCTATGAGGTGGTACTTTTAAGCTGTTTATGTCAAGTTCCCCTCAAAGGCCTTTGTAAGGAAGGCCTGATACCTAAGCAAAACACAAAAGCTATAAAACATGAGCTTCCAAAACCCTCTCTCAACTCCCACTAACCACTTTTCTTGTCTTGTACAATCCACTGTTATTTTAACGATGGGACTAATCTTTGATTCCTTCAAGGGAGAAACTGCTCTTTAAATTGAGTTCCCCTACCCCAGTTGCTCTTTTTTGCCTTTGAACAGGGATATGTATCACCAGCTAGCAAGTGTATATTGAGACCTTACTGTGTTCTTATGTAGGATTAGAGGAAGGATTAATTAGAGATTAATTAGAGGAAGGTAACAGTTGAATTGCAACATCAATAAAGGTTAGCTATGGAAAAAATCAAGGGAAGAGAAATACAAAGACCCAGAGGAAAGACTTAATTTTGTTTGAGAGTCAGAAAGGAGGTCAGTGTGGTAAGAGTGTAATATTGTGCACTTTCTGAAGTGTAAGTAGGAGGTGGAGAAATAAGTGGAGATCCTATAATTTAAGGTGTTGATCAATCAAGCAACTGGTGATTTAAATGTGAAATTTAGAATTAAAAAAAACTACCAGTCATCACCACCCACTGCCATTGAGTCAATTCCATCTCATAGTGATCCTATAGGCAGAGTCAAGCTGCTCCTCTGGTTTTCTAAGGCTGTCAGTCTTTCCTGGGTCAGAAAGCCTCATCTTTCTCCTGAGGAGCAGCTGGTGGATTCAAACTACTGGCCTTGTGATTAGTAGCCTAAGTTGTAACCCCCAGCAACACCAGTACTCCTAGAAAATTTTACTAAAGTATCAGTGATCATAAAATATAACCTGAGGAATAAAAACAAAGATGGAGATAGTGTGTATAATTTTGCAAGACCAACAACTTGCTGCAAATACCTTATATCAACAATGCAAACAACTATATATACCAGTACTTCACAGGTTTGAATACACAGGGATCAAATTACATAGGTGGGTAGATGGAGAACCTCAATATCCCCAGTCAGAACAAGGCTGAGGACCTAGTGTGGAGCAGACCATCAATTGATCATATACAATGTCAAGTAGAAGCGTGAAGAAAATGAAAGTAAGTCCATGAGACCCAAAATACCACCTAGAGTATATCCCATCATTTTAGAGACTAGTTCAAAACTAGATTTGACACATTGAACATTAATGACCTACCACCAGTTGGGTTGTGGAATGATACCAAGGATATCATACATGAAGGAAGCAAAAAGTCATTTGAAAGAACGAAAAGGAAGAAAATACAAAATTGAATTTCAGAAGAGACTCTGAAACTTGCTCTAGAACAGATGATCTAAAGTGAATGGGAGAAACTATGAATAAAAGAGGTAAGCAGAAGATTTAAAAGAGGCTTGAGAAAACCTAGAGGTAGAAAACAAAAGGGAAGAACACTCTTGGCATTCTTCAAGGTGAAAAATCTAAAGAAAAACTCAAACCTCGATAGGTAGTATTGAAGGATTCTATGGGCAAAAATTGAAGTACACAAGAATTATCAAAAGAAGAGGGATACACAGAATCACTATACCAAAAAGGATGGATCATAGTTTAACCATTTCAGCAAGGAACACATGATCAAAAACCAATGATATTGAAGGAAGAAACCCAAGCCGCATGTGTTAGTCTGGGTAGACTAGAGAAACAAATTCATAGAGACTCATATGTGAATAAGAGAGGTTTATAAAAAAAATTTTTTTAAAAGAAAGAGGTTTATATACAAGAGCAGCTGAATATTGAGAAAATAGCTCAGTCCAGATCAGGTCTATAAGTCTGATATTAGCCCATATGTCTGACACCAGTCTATAAAGTCTTCTTCAGACTTAATGAAACACATGCAATGATGCCAAATGCAGGAAGATCACAGGCCATTGGGTGGGAAGTCTTGTAGATCCAGTGGCGTTGTAAGTATCTCAGCACTGGCAGGGGTCTCCATGTGGCTTCTCCAGGTCCAGGGTTCTGGCTGCGTCAGGGTAGGTCCATGTGGCTTCTCAGGGATGTCTAACAGGGAGTCAGCCTTGTCAGTAGAGTCTCCAAGGAAGTGAGCCGAGAGAGTGTCACCTGCCTCCAAGGAGAAAAAAAAAAAAAAGCAGGTCCCAGAATTTTCAGAAGGCCAAGCCAACACAGAGGTCTCATTGGCTATTTCTGGATTGACAGGCTGGACCTCACCCCTACACTCTTAATCCTCAAATTGACACCAGATTATGTAACTACCACACCACACTGAAGGTAGCCAAAAAGCAAGGCTCCAGCAATTGATGGAATACAAATAGAAATGTTTCAACAACCTTTTAGTGCTCCCTTGTCTATGCTACAAAATTTGGAAGACAGCTATCTTGCCAACTGGCTGCAAGAGATACAACTTTGTGCCTATTCCAAAGAAAAGATCCAACAGGAAACAGGAATTATCAAACAATATTAATTTCACACATGAGTAAAATTTTGCTAAAGGCAATTCAAAAATTGTAGAAGTATATTAGCAGTGAAATGCCAGAAATGTAAACTGGATTCAGAAGAGGAGGTAGAATGAGAGATACCATTGTTGATGTTAGCGGGATCTTGGCTGAAAGTAGAAATTGCCAGAAAGGTGTTTGCATGTGGGTTTTTATTTTTGTATTTGACTATTCTAAAGATTTTTTATTGTAGGGGATATAACAAATTATGGATAAATTGTGAAGAATCCGAATTCTCAAACCTTTAATTTTTATAATACCAAACCTATACATTGTTGTTCTAAAAGAACAAGTGTATATTGTGTAGTTTAAAATCAGCAAAGGTATTCATAAAGATTATATTCTTTCACCATACTTAGTCAATCATTACGCTGAGTAAATAGTCTAAGGTGGACTATATGATGAAGAAATTTGAGTTAGTGTTGGCAAGGGACTCATTAACTCAATATGCAGATGACAATCTTGCTTACTTTCAGTAAGCAAGAGGACTTGTAGCAATTGCTGATGAAGATCAAAGACTACAATGATAATATGAATTAGCCTTGACTTGAACATAAAGCAAAAATCTTCACAACTGGGCAGTTAAAGCTGTTTTCTAGAGAAACAGGACCCACTCATATATGTATAAGAAATATTTATCAAGGAATTTATATTAAGGAAGCAGCCCAACTTATATCAAATCCATGGGTCAGATGCTAGCTGGAGCCCCTCTAGAGTCATGCAGCTGCCAACCAATGTAGCAGGCAGGTGAATGAGAAGCAGAGACAACAGGCCAATGGTTGTAGAGTTGCATGAATCCAAGGTTGGCAAGAACATGGCAGAGCTCTACAGCAGCCCGAGTTGACAGGTCACATAAGCAGCCAATTCCAGAGCCAGATACGTAATTCAGGCAAGCCAGGAGGGTGAAGAGGGATAGGCAAGAAAAGCCAGTTCTCCTCAGTGCCTTTTATAAAAAGGCCACAACCTCAAGGGAGGCTTCATTAGGTTATGGCCTGATTGATGGTTGGACTCCACCCCTACCTTCACATAGGTGCAACAGGTTGACATAAATCCTAACCATCACATGAACCAATAGTTAATATGATAAACAGGGAGGGGAAACGATGCTTTAGAATTGTGGTGTTGGCAAATATTGAAGATACAATGATTGCCAGCATTTAACAACATTGCACAAGATAGTTCACTGCTCAAGGCTGACCTTTTTGGTATTGAATCTAAACTACTGTTTTGTTTTTTAAAGATTTTGGTGGATATTTTTGGTATAAGGTTTGAAGATAATCTCAAGGCAATCATTTCAGGGATTCTTCTACCCTCCATGGATCCAGAATGTCTGTATTCCATGAGAATTTGAAATTTGTTGTACATTTTACCCCTTTTGACCAGAATCTTTGATCCAAATGTTCAGTAATGGTAGTCAGGCACAATCCAGTACTGGTCTCATGGTAAAGAAGGTAGTTGTTCTTAGAAACAATTAGTCATGAATTCTATATCCTCCCTTCCTTACCCTCTTTCTTGACCTGCAGTGAACAGAAACCATCTATGCCTTTGATAGCCACTTGCAAACTTTCTTAAAACCTTGGGCACTATGCAGTGAACTCGGAATAGAATCACTAAACATTTTGATGCCATTCAACTAGGATATCCCATGAAACCGTGATTTTAAACCTCCAAATCAGGAAGCCAGATGCCATGAAAGGTTTGGCTGTACATTTATATTTTTCAAGTTGACAACTACTGTTGACAACAAAGTACAAGTTACAGTTTTAGATACTAGAGACAAAGATGTAAATGAAGCAAGAAACAAAGCCCTTGTTTGACGAAGTTGACTTTTAGTTGACAGTAGGATGTTCTCCTAATGTGGCATTTGAGCAGAAAATTAAATGAAGTGAGAGAACAAGCCATGCAGATATTTCAAGGGAGAACGTTTCAGAAAAGAAAGAACTGATTGTTATAAGAGATGTAAGAACCTCCAATAAAAGGATTTTTTTTTAAGATGTTAAAAAAAAAAGAACCACATATTTGAAGAGTACAGAGATCACTGTGACTAGAACACAGTGAGTGAGTACATGATGTCAGAGAAGCGGCTGAGCCAAGATCATGTAGGCTTTTATGGACCCTACTAAGAATTCTGGATTGTATTCTGAAATGGTAGACTCTTCGATTTTTGACAAGGGGATAATATGATATAAACTATACTTAAAGGATTCCTCTGGCTACTGTGTGAAGAATAGATTGTAGGAGGAAGGATACAAGCAGGTCAACCAGTTCTGAGGCTAATGTAGTGAGATACGAGTAGGTTGGCCTTGGTCAATAGTAGTGAAAGTGGTTTGCTCTTGATAAATTTTGACAATAGGACAGGATTTGGCAATAGATTGTTTGTTGGATGGGTGCTATTGTTATTTTATGTTTCTATGTTGAATCTCATCCACTCCAAAGTTTGAGAACCACTGATTTATGTTCCTAATTACTTTACTCCCTGGAAGCTCTTCTCATTTTTGTCTCTCATTGTGCTTTATTTTTCTTTCAATTTGCACAAAATATTTTAGAGCTATTTAAACCATTCTATTTTTGTGGGAATTGTTTTCATTTCTACTTTAAAGTTTTGTTTCTTCGGGAAAACAAAAACATCAGGAGTTTGTTTTCTTGTTACCTTACAGACTTGGATTCCAGCTGTGAAAACAAGAAGTCATCTCCAGAAAAGAGTGCTTGTAAAATGGAACCACTCCAGTGGGAAATAATGGAAAAGCCTCTGTGCCGTAACCTTGAGTATAGGCATGCCGGAGACATCACGGAGTACAAAGGACAAGTTGAGAGTCAGCAAAAAAATCAGGGCACACTTTTCAGGCATGTGAAAACCCGTGAAGAACAGACTATTCCAAGTCATTCCATATCCCCTACGCTTCATCAGACATTGCATACAAAGGAAAAAATGTACAAATGTAAGGACTGTAAAAGAGCCTTCAGCTACCTCTCATGCCTTATTCAGCATGAGAAAACTCATAATAGAGAAAAGCATTCTGAAGTCAAGAAATATAGTCAGCATCAAAGTACTCAAGCTTGTGAGAAACCATATGAGTGTATGGAATGTGGAAAGGCCTTTGGACGTAGTTCTATTCTGATTCAGCATCAGAAAATTCATACTAATGAAAAACCCTATCAATGTAAAGTATGTGGCAAAGCCTTTATTCGTGGTTCACAACTCACTGAACACCACAGAGTTCATACAGGAGAGAAGCCTTATGAATGTAAGCAATGTGGAAAAGCTTTCAGTTACAGTTCACAATATACTGTCCATCAAAGAATTCATAATGGTGACAAACCCCATGAATGTAAAGAATGTGGGAAGGCTTTTCTTTTTAGCTCACACCTTACTTACCATCAGAGAATTCACAGTGGTGAGAAACCATATGAGTGTAAGGAATGTGGGAAAGCCTTTATTATTGGTTCACATCTTACTTATCATCAGAGAGTTCATACTGGTGAAAAGCCTTACAGATGTAAAGAATGTGGGAAAGCTTTTTTAAGTTCTTCCCAACTTAATGGGCATGTGAGAATTCATACAGGTGAGAAACCTTATGAATGTAAAGAATGTGGTAAGACCTTTATTTGTGGCTCAAAGCTTACTTACCATCTGAGAGTTCATACAGGTGAGAAACCCTATACATGCAAAGAGTGTGGAAAAGCCTTTATTTGTAATGCTAACCTCACTCAGCATCAGAGCACGCATACTAAAGAAAAACCCTACAAATGTAAAGAATGTGGAAAAGCCTTTTATTTCTGCAAACAGCTTGGTGAACACCTGAGAATTCATACAGGTGAGAAGCCTTTTAAATGTAAGGAATGTGGAAAGACCTTTTCCTGTGCAGCATATCTTACTCAGCATCTGAAAATTCATGGTGAAAAGCAGTATGAATGTAAGGTATGTGGAAAGACCTTTATTTGTTTAGCACAGCTTAATTGTCACCAGAGGATTCATACAGGTGAAAAACCCTACAAGTGTGAGGAATGTGACAAGGCCTTTATTTATAGCTCACAACTTCGAGAACATCAGAGAACTCATAGAGGTGAAAAACCTTATGTGTGTAAGCTGTGTGGGAGGGCCTTTATTCGTGGTTCACATCTTACAGTGCATCTGAGAATTCATACTGGGGAGAAGCCTTATGAATGTAAGGAATGTGGGAAGGCTTTTCCCCGTGGATCAGAACTTACCACTCATCGAAGAATCCATACTGGTGAGAAACCCTTTGCATGTTTAAAATGTGGTAAAGACTTTATACGTCGTTCACAACTCACTCAACATCTTAGGGTTCATAACTAAAGCCACTGAATGTGATTTGCTCTAAGAAAGGCCTTACCTGTCTTCAGTTGCTCTGGTAGTATATTAGAGTACCCATATAGTGATTGTAATGAATGTAGGATATCCTATAGTTTGGCTCAGAATTAACTCATTTTTAGAAAGCCGGTACCTCTTGAGTGCTAACTGAAAGGTCAGCAGTTCAAAACTACCAGCTGCTCTTCAGAAGAAAGGTGTAACAGTCTACAGATGCATCCATAAAGATTTATAGTGTTGGAAACCTAATAGGCTGGTTCTCTACTTATAAGGCATTCATTATACCTTTATCAAGTGACACATTTGCATATTAACTTTTCATAGACAATAGCCCAAGATAGTCATTTCCAAAATAAGTTCAAGAAATAATCATTTTTGTCATAAAAATGGAGAGAATTTTCTACCTCACAACTTGTGAGGCTGGCACATAACCAAGTTTCATTATTGCCATAACCAAATTCACTTGTTGCTAGCTACCTTTGACTCAGTTCTGACCCATAGCAACCCTATGTACAACAGAACGAAACGGTCCCGTCCCGTCCCCACAGTTGTTCTTGTACTTGAGCCCATCGTTGCAGCCACTGGGTCATGCCATCGCATTGAGGGCCTGCCTTTTTTCACAACCCCTTTACTTTGCTAACCTTGATGTCTTTTTCCAGGGATGGGCCTCTCCTGACAACATAGCCAAAATATGTAAGATGAAGTCTCACCATTCTTGCCTCTAGGGAGCACTCTGGCCATATTTCTGGCCATCAGGCTTGTTCTTTTGACAGTCCATGGTACCCTTGATATTCTCTAACACCACAGTTCAAACATCAATTCTTCATTGGCCTTCCTTTTGTAGTGTCCAACTTTCACATGCATGACGCAATTGAAAATACCATGGCTTGAGTCAGGCCCACTTTAGTCCTCAACATAACCTCCTTGCTTTACAACACTCTAAAGAGGCCTTATGCAGCAGATTTACCCAATACAATGCTTTGTTCTCTTAGCTGCTGCTTCATGAGTCTTGATTGGAGATCCAAATATTAAATCCTTGGGAACTTCCATATTTTCTCCATTTATCATGGTGTTACCTGTTGGTCCAATGGTAAGGATTTGGTGTTCTTTAACTTTGAGTTTTAATTCAGACTGAAGACTGCATTACTTTTTCTTCATCAGCATGTTTTTCAGTCCACCTCAGTTTCACTAAACAAGGCTGTGACATCTGCATTTTGCAGGTTATTTTAAGCTTTTCTCCATTATAAGCTTATAATGTAGCTTCTTTGATTATTTGCTCAGCATACAGATTGAATAAATACAGTGAGAGGATACAACCTTGATGCACACCTTTCCTGATTTTAAACCATGCAGTATGCCCTTGTTCTGTTCATACAACTGCCTCTTAATCCATGTACAATTTTTACATAAGCACAGTGAACTTGCTGCCATCAAGTCAATGCTGACTCATAGCAACCCTCTGTGGGTTTCCAAGACTGTAAATTGTTTACAGGAGTAGAAAACCCAGTCCTTCTCTCGTGGAGCTGCTGGTGGTTTCAAATGGCTGACCATTTGGATAGCAGCATAACACAACCACTACCACTACAGCATCAGGGCTCTGGAATTCCCATTCTTCTCAAGGTTATCCATAATTATAATCCATATAGTCGAATACTTTGTCATAGTTGATAAAACACAAGTGTCTTTCTGGTATTTTCTATTTATACAGCCAAGATTCATCTGACATCAGCAATGATATCGTTTGTTTTACGTCCTCTACTGAATTGGCCTGAACTTCTGGTAGCTCCCTGTTAATATACTGCTGCAACCATTGTTGGATGATCATCAGCAAAATTTTACTTGCATGGGATATCAATGACATTGTTCTATAATTTGAACATTCTGTTGGGCCACTTTTCTTTGAAATGAGTACAAATATGGATCTCTTCTAGTCAGTTGGCTGAGTAGCTGTCTTTTCATCAGCTTGTTGAAACATTTCAATCCGTATTACATCAATTCCCAGAGTCTTATTTTTGGCTGATCTTATTTTGGCTGATTTTTGGCTTCAATGCAGCTTGAACTTCTTCCTTTAATACCGTTGGTTCTTGTTCATGGGCTATCTCCTGAAATGGGGGGATCTCAACTAGTTATTTTTGGTACAGTGACTCTGTGTATTGTTTCCATCTTCTTTTGATGCTTCCTGCATCAGTCAATATTTTGCCCAAAGAATCTTTCAATATTACAACTCAAGGCTTGAATTTTTTTTCTTGAGTTCTTTAATTTAAAGATATGCTGGGCATGTTCTTCATTTTGGGTTTTCTAATTCTAAGCCTGTGCTGTGCACATTTCTTTATAATGTTTTACTTTGGTTTTTTCCTCTTTAACTGTTTCTTCCATGATTTCCATCATTCCTTTGATTAAGAGCAAGTTTCAGAGTCTCTTCTGACATCCTGTTTGATATTTTCCTATCTTTTTAATGGCTTTTTGTTTTTCTTCATGAATTATTCTTAATGCCATCCCACAGCTCATCAGGTCTTCTGTCATTAGTGTGCAGTTCATCAAATCTGTCCTCAAGAGGCTCTCAAAGTTCAGGCAGGATATATGCAAGGGTATATTTTGGTACTTGTTGATTTGTTTTAATCTTCAGCTTCAACCTGAAATTACATATGAGCAAGTGATGATTTATGTACCGGTAACAAGCCAAATAAAAAAAAATGTGATAAGACCTTCTATAAAAAAATTTAACTGATTACTCTAATCCATTCTTTTTCCATTTATAATAGTTGATTATGAATCTTTTCTTCCATAGTACATACTACTATCTTTAGGTTATATATGTATTTTGAAATATACAGTTTTAACTAAAAGGAATAACTAGAAATTTGAGACATTGTGGTATCTAATTAAATTGGGGGAGGTGATTATAAACGCCAAGGAAAAGGCAGGTTTCTGATCTCAGATCAACTAATCTTCTAATAGTTGTCACAAGCAAGGAGGTGGTGTGCCTGCCTAGTGCGCATGAACGTCTAAAAACCACTTTGACCGGGGAGACCTCATCTCAGCTGGGGCCAGTTTCTTGTTGGGAGAGAGAAGAGCAATCAGTTTTTGTCATATAACATTGTTCTGCTGTCACCCCAAATCAACAGATACTCCTACAAGGGTGCTTAATGAACCGTAATTGAAATTCAAGTCAAGAGGTGAGGGCTGGGCCATGTCTGCCTCAGAGAAAGCGATTTCAGGTCTGTTAGATAAACTAGGTGCAGCAACCTGCCACTGGGAAAAAATGCATCATTGTATAGACCCCGAAGGGGAGGACACACCTGGTAGTGTTTTCCCAATTGGTCACTTGATCTAGTTTCTGTCCACTCCTTGGTGACCCAGGCCCCATGCTTTGGACACTGGGGCTTCAGACTTTTCCATTTTGAGATACACATATATTCCATAGGCCATACCGGAAGGGTCTGATCTGGAAACCCCACAAAGCAAACTGGACTTTAACCTTAGCACACTGTAGCAAACGAAACCTCCCTTAGACTTATGCTGAAACACCCTAGTGTGAGGAAAAGCAGATGACTACTTTCTTAAGGTTATAGATTTGGAAATCCAAATCTTTTTCTTTGAAGGTGCCCCAAAAATGACAACTGAAGACTGCCATATATTTGCTATTTTCTTATGTTCTCTACATTTTTATGACATGTCTTAGTCCAGCAGTGAAAGTTCTGCCTGTGTGAACAAGCATTAAGTTTTTAATCTGTACAAGTCAACAATCCATGTCTTTTTGGCCTAAAAAAATTGCCCAATAGGGTTGCCTTGAGTCAGAATTGACTCAATATTAGTGAGTTTTGGTATACATGTGTACTTAACTTTTCTCAACAATGTTTTAAATTCTATATGATTGGCCAAATTAACAATACTATCAGTAAAATTACCATATGCCCTTTGGGATGATTTATAATGTTCCCCAATAAAATGATAATGATATCTCAAAGTGAACCAGGGACATATAAAGACCATATTTGCAAAAATGGATTTGGGGCTCTCAATTATATCCCTAATCTAAGAAAAAATTAGTTCTTATGACCTTGCTCTACTCTGTACTGGCCTTAAAATAAATATCACTGAAGATAAGGGTGGTATAGCAAAGTGTGGTGAATAAATCAGATGGTTCTTGGCTATTAAAGAATAGGGTCTGGGATCTTAAAGGCTTATATTCAAACAAGCAGCCATCTAAGTGAGCTATCTGCAAAGTCCAGCCTGTGTGATCCAAAGATTGTAAATTATAAAATCCAAGACTGGAGTGGGAAATGGTATCAGAACTTAAATTCTGAGTACCTGGTTTGCAGAAGGCTATGGATGGCAATGAAGCCCCCAAATCCATTTGCAACCCCCAAATTCATATGGATCAAGCCTTCTATTAATCCCCAATGACTACAGATTAGGATGCCTTGCTATAAGACAAACTACATTGGAAAGTGGATTATTGCAGATAAGTTAGTTTAAAATTTAATACTTTACTTGATTCTCCCTCTTCACCCATTTTATATTTGTTCTAGTTTTTAATATTTTCTGCGTTCTTTTTAACTGAGCATCTTTGTTTTATTTTGTTATTGTTAGCATTGGGATTTTTGTGGGGTTTTTTTGTTTTGTACTTCTGTATATGAAATAGGATAGGTCACTATATAAAGACAGTAACTGAATTAATAGTTTCTTGCAGTATGGCAGGAAAGTTGGGGGGAAATGATTAGCTAATAACAATGAGTAAAAGAAAGAATAGATTTTCTAAAATTGTGATGATTGCACCTCTTTGATAAGATTGAACTATTGAATTGTAATGTGAATTATATGTCAAGATAACTTAAAAATTAAATTTGGGGTGTAAATATGATGTCTTTACACTATACAGGGAAAATCCCGTTATTTGAATTTTCAATATTATTTCTCATCTAATTCAGTTTAATAAAGTTTTTGTTGCTGCTTTTGTTTTAAGGTACTTTTAAAAGAAACCTTTAATAGATATTACCAAAGTCAATAGAACACATAAGCAGTGCTCAGAAGACAATATATAGACATAAATTCACACATCAAGAGAGGAGAAAGACTCAAAATTGTCACTTTAACCCAACATCTCCAACACTTAATAAACGAACAGCAGGTGGGGAAGGGGGGAGTCTACAAGGAAGTAATAAAGATTCAAGCAAATTTAAATAAAATAGAAAAACATTGGGAATAACAAGACTGCAAGTTGTTTCCTTGAAAGAATCAATGAAATTGCCAAGCATTGCCAAATTTAACAAAGAAAACAAGGAGAAGATAAAAGTAAATGAAATAGGAATGTCATAACAGAAACAACTGGAATATAAAGAATCACTGTACTATAAAGAACAGCTCACTTAAAACCTGGGGAAAATGGACACATTTCTGGAAACCCAGTTTCATCACAATAGAAGAAACTGAACAGATTTTTTTTAAGTGCTGGTCCAGATGATTTTGATACCTGGAAAATTCTACTAAACATTCAGAGAAGAGCAATTCTACTTAATTCTACTTAAGTTTTCCAGAGTATAGGCTGGAATACACCATTCTATGAGAGAAGCATAGGCATAATAGATAAACCAGGCAAAGACACCACCACCACCAAAATTATAGACTAACATTATGCATGAACACAAATACAAAAATTTCAACAAAAGTTTAACCAGTAAAACCCAACAACATGAAACAAAATCATATCC